GGGTTATCAGGCCAGCAGGCAGAGGCAGTTAGAGATGATCAGGCAGGCAGGAACAGGCGCAAGGATAGGGCCTAAACCGGCAGTCAGACATCCCCTATGGGGTCTCGGATTGGAGAGGGTGCAGGCCAGGCTGAAGAACACTCCCTCTGTGCACGAATTTCATGCACCAGGCCTCTAGTTTTTATATAATGGGCAAAAAATCTGAACAGACACCTCTCCAAAGAATATATGGATGGCAAATAACCATATGAAATATTCCCAACATCACTTGTCATTAGAGAATTGCAAGGAAACAATAAGATAACAATACAACCCATTAAAATGGCAAAAATCCCCCCAAAATAAAAACAAAACTGACAATATGGAATGCTAGAAGGATTTGAAACAACAAACTCATTCATTTCTGGTGGGAGTGCAAAATGGTACAGCCACTTTGGGAAACAGTTTGGCAGTTTCTTATAAAGCTAAACATAATCTTACCATAATCCAGCAATTGTGCTTCTAAATATTTACCCAAGCAGTCTGATAACTTATGTCTACATAAATACCTCCATGCGAATGTTTACAGCCTAAACATAATTGCCAAAAATGGGGAGCAATCGAGATGTTCTTCAATGGGTAACTGGATAAACAAACTGCCGTATATCCATACACAGGAATATTCAGCAGTAAATAGAAATAAGCTCTCAAGCCAGGCCGTGACACAGAGGCACCTTAAATGCACATTGCTAAGTGAAAGATGTCAGACTGAATCGACCTCATGCTGCGTAATTCCAATCACGACTTGACACCCACATATAATACTGGATAGGAGTGAAGGAAGAGCCATTCTGTCTTACTCTGTTGTTTTTTCTTTTGTAGTTTTGGAATAGCTCTTTAATAGCCCTTCCTGTCTCCAGGCTTACCTGCATCTGCTCAGTTCATCTTGACACTGAAACAGCATGACCTTTATAAAACAAAGTGATGATCATCTCATCCTTGTGTTTATAATACTGTAATGCTTTCTCATCATTTTCAGCATAATTATAAATCTCATAGCTTGGCTTATAAGCTCTTCATAATGTGGGAGTTTTCCAGCCCAGTCTCCCCCAATTCCTCTCACTTCCTTATTTTACCAGGCTCAAGTTTTTCATACACACTGTGACATTTTAAGTCTCCATGTTTTTTTAAGAGTGTTTGTTTGTTTTAAGATAGCGGTAGGAGTGGTAATGCAGCTGCAAATGAAGATACCCTATTGCGAGTGTTCACGCCCCCCCACCCTTTGGCAAAGCCTGTAAATCTACATGTGCCCATATAGGCAGGAAGCAAAATGAGTGTGGAGCAGAGAGTATGTATAAGCAGAGTAACTTGTAAAATCCTTGATTCTTTATCAACTAAGGCATCCAGTGGGGTTATACAAGATATTTTTCTGCTTCTCTGGGATACTTAATTCTTTTGCATCACTTTTATGCCTCAACAAAGTCCAAATATTTCCAATCTCCAATTTCTTATGTGCTCTGGTAATATAAGCATTGAAAAAAATTAAGATATTAACATACTTGTTTCTTCTTCCAGAACAAAGTAAAAATTAAAAGTTCAAATTTTATATCCAAATTTCTTAAAATTTTAGAAAATAGTTAATGTAATACAAATAATTTTACTTAAATATTATGCCTTGTGAAATATTATTTATAATTAAAATGACAAAAAATTATAAATTATTAAATTTAAAACTCTCATTTGGGAAATTTAGCGATATATTTCTTAAGTACCACTCGTAATTAAAATGATTCAACTTATATAAAACTGGATTAAATTATTGGGCACAGAATCCATTGCTTTTTATTTATTAACCTTCAAGATATAAATGAAAAGACAAAACCAAACCAGTTGATTACCATATTCCAAATTTAACTCCTCTGGTTTCAAATTTAAATCCAGGAAGAATTTATTTTCATTCAATCACACAAGTTAATTTTTTTATTTAAAATAAAGTTGTTGTTTTGGGGGTTTTTTACATTCTTTATAAGCATTCCCATACTTTTGCTTCCTAACAAATATGTTGGAAATTGCAAGTCATGGTCCTGGCAGTTTTCCCATTCTCATTAGTCATCCCCACCAGTTGTCACTATCAAATAAACCTTTACATAAAAACAGAAAGAAAAACAAAACAAAATATATATATATATATATATAGTATACATATATATATAGTATATATATATGTATATATATATATATATATATATACATAAATTAGCCTTTATCTTACCATTCCACAGCAAAAAAAGTCAATTTTCAGAACTTGAAATGCCATGAAGCTAGACTATCAGGCTAAGTTTTCAGAGACAGGAGTGCTTCCTAATAATTATTGGAGGTTATACCATTTCCCTTTAGGAAATTCTTTGCAAGGAACAGTGACATTTATTCTGTAACTCTTTCTCAGAGTGGTATTTTTGTCAGATGCAGGGTAAGTCAAAATTTTCTGGCTTAAACAAACAGTAATTTAAAGGCAATCCTTAAACCTCCATCTGGAATTGATTTACTTTTCATTTTAACTTCTGGCATTATAAAGCATCCACTTCTATATTACATTAATTTTAAATTTCCATTAAGTTGTTCACTGTCTGTGTTTTATGAGGCTTAAGGATTTTTAATGCCAATTTATTTTGACCAGCACAGGAATAGAGCAAGGGAGAGATGAAGTAGGAAGTGGGGGATGGAGCTACGTCAGAAACTACAGGTATATGAACAAATTTTTGTCCCCTGTCTGATCTGTTGATTTATTTATTTTTTTTTTACTTCAGCTAGAAATTTTGAAGAGTTGAGGTGGGGAGGACATAGGAAGCAAAGGAGGACACCATGAGATAAGCCTGAAAATAGAATTGTGTGCTAACTCCACTTTCCTTACTTTAAACTATCCACATGGAACATCTTATACATGCCCAGTGCATTTACCAATCACTAGAAAGTGTCATTCTGGCAATGAAAGTATGAAGGGAAGGATAGAGGATACATGGGTAGATAGATGGATGGATGGGCCGATGATATTCCTCTACCTGGATGATTTCATTGTCTCATTCAACAGGTTCACATCCAAACTTACTTGACTTTAACTCATTATATTTGACCTCAGAGAATAATGATACACCCCGAACTTTATTCCATATGGGCTAATCTGTCTCCCTTACTCTCTATATATCCAATCAATGAATAATTTTTATAGGTGACCAGATCAAATTGAGCCACCTCCCTAAACAGAACTCTCTGCCCATAGACTTCAGGGTAAAACCCAAGCTCTTCAGTGTGACAGATAAGCTCCTTGACAGCCTGGGCTCTGAAGAACCTCACAAACTCTCCCCATGTGGCTCCACCCACACATTACTCAACCTGCCCTGAACAACATGTGATTCCTCCCTGATCCAGGCTCTCCCTTGTCTAGGCCTTGCAACATGATGCTCTTTGCTTGGAATGTTCTTCCTAAATCAGTGAGCTGTCACTCATCAAGGCTCAGCTCACCATGTAGCTGTAGTATGAAGTCATTTCTATTTAGGGAATTCTCTTGTCTTGCTTTTTTCTTGTGCCTAGCACAGTGTTGAATAAATAGTTATTGATTAAATGAATGTGTGTGAAACTCACAAATGTGGGGAGGAGAGAAAGGTTTCCTGAGAAAGCCAAATGGATAAGCATTTGAAAATTATTAAATTTAGATATCAGTTTATCTGCCTGAGGTTTGATTTCTGTACACACATCTTTGCTCTGAGCCCCTCTTCTTAAGACCTGACACTTCAAGGCACACAATTTGCTGGTTTTTTTGACATCTCGTTTCCAGTCCAGCCTATGTCCATCCCCTTTTAGTCCAGCCCCTCAATTCAAAAATGGCTTCGCCTAGGGACCCTGAAATTCCAAACTGGCGCATTCTTGGTCTCAATCATCAGTGGCTGTTAAGCCAAAACTTCAAAGAGCTGTCCTGGCCCCCACATGGCCTAGATCAGGTCTCAGTGCCCAGGTATCCATACTTCACTCTTTGGTTTGAGGCACAATGGCCCATGTTTCTTGAAGGAGGCTAGTCATAGAAAAAGAGGACTGCTAAAGGGAATATGAACTTGGTAGTTGATGTTTGAAGAAAGACCCAGGAATAAGGTATGAAGGACAGGAGTGTTGGACCCAGGGTTCAGGGAAGAAGGAAATTGGATCTGGAGGCTTGATTTGAGAGGAGAATGACAGCGGTCCAGGTAAGGGAGGAAAGAAGGTGAAACTGAACTTCCTCTTAGATTTTAGGTAAACCTTCTGGTTTGTTGTCTCTAAGATGCAACAGAAGTGTCCATAGGATTGACACTTTATACTACGTACTATTCTGATTTTTGTCTGTTACATTTTCTCTTCCAGAAAACAGATGTTTTCCCCCCTCTGAGGCACTAAAGTTAGTTAGACTCATCTCAGTCTGGCCTGCCTTCTTTTAGCTAGCTAGGCATCATAACAGGACTTGAATAGGATAATATTCTAAATTACCCAGGTATCTTTTTCCCAGAACATGCAAAGATGCAGACTCTCAATTGCTCAAGCATAGGAACTGTCTCTTATTTTCTTTGCTGTCTTCCTGGTTGCCTAAAATGGTTCCTGGCATCCTGTTTTTTGTTGTTGAAAGAATGAACTTGTTAACGACTGAGGAGATGAATAAGGAAACAGTTGCTCATCACATACTACTTATCTGTATCATATAATGTCTGCATCATTAGATTCTTGTTTTCCTCCTTTGCTGCATCTTTGAAGACCTTTTCAAGAGAAAAGCAAAAATCTTACTTATATAAACGTCTCCTTCCTGCTCCTTGAAATTCATATTCTCTTTCTGTGTTGCCATGGTTTCTGGTCATGGATATTCCCCCCATTAAGGATGAAGAAATCTAGTCATGAACAGAAATGTTTTGAAAACATGCCTCTCTGTAAGATCAATGTTCATATGGAAAATAATTCTGGCCATTGAGAATTGAATCATATTCATAGAAATATTAAAATATATAATCGCTTCTCGGCCTTTTGGCTAAGATCAAGTGTAGTATCTGTTCTTATCAGTTTAATAAAATATAGTGGTAAGTAAAGTAAACAAACCTGGGTTCAGTCTCAGTCTGTCATTTAACTGCTCTGTAAAATAGACTAATTTATTTACTTTTAAGTTCAGTTTTCAATGGATAAAATAGAAACAGTAATTCTTACTTCTGAGAGTGTTTATGAGAAATAAATAATCAGCATTCAATACAAACTCCCCTTTTGATAGTTAGCATTCCAGAAGTACATTAGTGTTTTTATATGTATTTAAAACATATCTAAAACTACCGAATGGTATTTCCTAAGGATATATATACTTTAATCTAACAGCTAATATGATTAAAAAATGAATACTTAATTATACAAAGTTAATTTAACCAATAAACTATCACCAAAAATCTAGGGTAGAATTCTCTTTATACAAGGTGGGGCTAAAGGAGGTTTACAGTTGTGAGCTTTCAAAACACAGTTTATTCTTGTATCGTTATTTGTTAATTATTGTGTTATTTTCTATATGAACAACGGTAAACCTAATTTTGCCCCACCCTGTATTTGTAAGTATGCTTATTTGTACTTCTCTGAAGCCTTTTGTCCACTGAAAGGTTAGAGGTAAATTTAGGGCTGATAGCAGAGGTCGGGAGTAGTGGTTCCTCTGTGGGAACCAAGAGAAGAGGTGTGGTGGATCCATGGATTACATTCTACTTAGTGAATTTTCCATTTTTTAGAAACTGGCTCTTTTTGATAGCAATGAAATTCAATGCCAGTAACACCAAAAATAAACCACATATGAGGAAGAATTATCCAAGTAGGTTATAAATTAGGTAAAATGAGGAAAATGGTCTTCTCTAGATTAGACACGTTTGGCTTATTTAGTGAAAAGATATGAGTTTTCAAGGCAATGGAAAGAAAATCAGATCTTTCAGAATGCAGAGACTTAACTGTAACACATCAAACATGTCAAACCTTCAAACGTCTAGAAAGACAAGACCTTATATCAGACTTCCAGGGGAGCAGAGGTTATCAATACCACCATTTTTATTTCATAAGAAAACCTTGCTCAGAATGGTGGCGATGGAGAGGACAGGGTATTCAAAAGAAAAAAATATATAGTAACTATTTTAATAAACTATAGAAGTATAATTTGTAGAAGAAGAATAAAACAGCCAAGGCATTTCAGATAATATATTTTTGTAACCTTTTAAGACAAAGTTATAAAATGATGGCATGGTTCTGCTGTGAGTTCTGTTGTGTTAATTTTTCTGCAGATTCTCTCAATGTCTGGTTATTATTTAATGTTAAGGAAAGTAAACTGTGACTTAGATTGATACACTTTTTCATCTATTTAGCAAGTATTGTTTAGTCTACTGTGTGCCAGACAGACACTCTTCTATACAGTCGAAAACAGTGACGAATAAAATAAATAAAATACCCTCCTGGAGTATACATTATAAAGAAGGAATCAAGTAAAATAATAATATTAAATAATGACTCCAGTTGTTTTTATTATTATTAATATTATTAATATCATTATTGTTGGTGGTGGTAGTGGTGTTTATGGAAGACCTGACTGGGAGAGTGGCAGGAAATGTCCTCCTATCCTACTACACTGGCCATTGCTCATTCTGCTTAATGTTCCTTACTGTTTTGCCTTCAGGCCTTTGCACTGACTGGTCCCTCTTCTTGGAACACTATTTTCCAAGATACCTTCCCTCATCTCTTTCATGTATCGCCTGGTCACCCTATCTTAAATAACAACTCACATCATCTCTCAATGCTGCATCTCCCTTACGCTGCTCTACATTTTTATCCCATAGCATGTATCACCTCTAATCTACTATGTAACTTATCACTTTTACTTTTTATGTATCCTCCTCATAGAATATAAGCTCTGTAAAATCAAGGATCTTAATCTGACTTGTTTTCTGGATTAGTCCAAACACCTAGAACAGAACAGAGTAGGTACTCAATAAATATTAATCCAATGAGATGAGCTCAGGGAGAATTGGGGGGAAACATGTGACATGAGCTGGTATAAGTTTTAATTGAATCAGTGAAAGTAGTTTAAGGGGGTTCTGGGGTGCAGATGAAGTAGGGATACCACTGGGAAGCAACAGTGTTATTGTTAACATGTAAAACCAAGTGATGAGAGTGGTAGTGGTACAGGGGGTGAGAAGTGGTAGAATATATCACATATGAAAATTGTGTGCCATAGCCCTGGCCAGTGCAGCTGAGAGGTTAGAGCATTGGCCTATGCACTGAAGGGTCACAGGTTTGACTCCCAGTCAAGGGCACACATACCTGGGTGCAGGTTCAATCCCAGCCCAACTGGGGATTATGAGGGAGGCAACCAATATATGATATTTCTCTCTCTCTCTCCCCTCCCTTCCTCCCTTCCACTCTCTCTTAAAATAAAGCAATGAAAAACATATCCTCGAGTGAGGATTTTTTAAAAAATCATATGCCATAGTAAAATTATAATAAAATCAGGAGCTAAAAAATACTGTTTTTTAATTACATCAGTAAATTGTGAAATGTCACCCACGCACCTCAATCACAATTTCAATAACAACAGAGCCTTTAACAAATACCACATCCACAGAGGTAAAATTATCTTCATTCTTTAGACAAATAATTTAAATTAATATGTTATTGAAAAGCTAACATTAGAAAATGTGTTTGTCTTTCCCATGAATAATCTGTGCGAGAGACAAACACACATCATCAAATAAGAAACATATGACGTCAATTTTTTCAAAGTGCTTTCTGTGTTTTTCAATGCACTCGAAATAGATTGGATTTTTAAACAAATGTATGATTCTGTTGTTAGAGCAACCATCAGATAATGATGTGTGTCTCTTCAAAAAGAATATAAAAAATGTTCCTATTGATTTTGTTGTTTGAGCCCAGCAACACTGCCCTGCTGGAAGGGGGCTGTCTACACTGAGCCAATAATCCGAAGTCAGCAGGACCCACTTATCAACAGCTAACGTCGTTTCCCAAAGGTGTACCAGAATCCAGTTCAAGAGAACAAATTCCTTAGAATGAAAACCCAGAGCTAATTTACTCCAATATTAGACAAAATTCTAACAAGCTTATTAATATGGCTTATCAGTCTCTGGAATAATACAAGTAGCAAAGCAGATGAATAGATAGGTTTTTACACATAGTCTCAGTGACTGGCATAACAGAGAAAGCCGTGGTATTTGAGGAAGGAAAACAATTTATATTTATGTGTATATTAAAAATATATATTTGGATGTATTCAAAAACTAAAAATACTTAAAGCCCTAGTACTCTGGAGTTGCTTTGCCTCAACCACTCTACAGCTCCTAAAAGTATTGCCACATAGCTGCACAGGGCACTGATCAAGGTTCCAGACATTTAAAAATGATTCAGTTATGTTCAGTATTCTCAGTTCTGAGAGGTGATGGAGTGTCTAATACATCTTAGAAATATTTCTTGGACATATGATTAGTTTTAATGGTCTTGTAACTGGGGTACTTCCAATGTTATGTAAAACATCTTGTTAATTTTAATAGCACATTGCTTGAGGATGCCAGATAAATGCATTTTTATACATCATAACCTTTAGAGTTAAAACTACATATTCTAACAAAAGATGAAACTCTTTGGCTTCTGCAGGCAGTTGTTTATTGCTGCTGCTGATTTAAAAAGGACCCTTGTAGAGATGCTGGGGAATGAACCCAGGGCTTCATACATGGAAAGCAAGCACTCTACCACTGAGCTACATAAACATATATACACTAGAGGTCCAGTGCATGAAATTCGTGCACGGGTAGAGTCCCTAGGCCTGGCCGGCAATCAGGGCCCATCTGGGCCTTCCTTCCCCTGGCTGCCGGCCAGTGTCTTTCTTCATTCCACGCTGCCCCCTGGAGGTCAACACACATCATAGTAGGTAGTCGAACTCCCGGTCAGTCCAATTCCCAAGGGGACAATTTGCATATTAGCCTTTTATTATATAGGATAGGATAATACATAGACACAGATGACAGTATGGTGATATCCAGAGGGCAAGGGGGGGCAGGGGCTGGGTGGAGGTGGGCAAAGGGGAGGAAAATGGGGATGGAGACTGTGCTTGGGGCAATGGGCACACAATGCAGAATGTGGATCAGGTTTTGTTGAGTTGTACACTTGAAACCTATACGATTCTGTGAACCAATATCATCCCAATAAATTCAGTTTTTTAAAAAAGATCAGCAATAGGACTAATCAGTCTTTAATTTTTTAATTTTTTAATTTTTTTTGCTTGCATGTCCCCAAAACCATTTTGGAAAACTACGTGACCTCTTGCAAATTTTTTACTTTATATCCAGTTTTTTTCCTGTGAATTTAAATAGCTACAAAGAGTGTAAAGATTCTGATGTCTTGTAAATATTGACATTTTAAAATAAGGACGTTTATTTTACTCTTTCAAATGTACCCAGCAGACTCTAAAGCACATATCTCTTTGATATTCAACACCGTCCTTTAAAAAACAAAACAACAACATGTGAATAAACTCTTCTTCACCAGTTGAAAAAAATAAAATAAAAACAGAAAAATATATCTGTCTGGTGCTTACGACTTCTTACATGCCAATAAAAAGACTGCGTGAGTCTCAAGAGAGTGAGGAGCGACAGACTGAAAACTGAAGATAAAACCACAGTGCACTCCCTGTGGGAAGTACTGCAGGGTCAGTGGCCTGCTACTTTAGGCACTGCAAAAAATGCTGGCTCACATCCAGCCTTACACTCAGTAATTAGAAACAAATTGCTCCTTTTAGTCTCTAGCCAAGCCACGTATGCTTGTGGCCTGCTTTATGAGGTTCTCGCTGCGATGGGCACTGTGATCTCTCATATGAAACACTATGATAGTGGGTATAGATCTCTCTGTTGACTCTAACGTAAGCAATCCTATTAATACAAGCCTAATATGCTAAGTGTCCAGTCATCTGGTCTGCCGTTCAACCAATCAAAGTGTAATATGTTAATGATAAGCTAAGGTCGCTCAACCGCTCACTATGACGTGCACTGACCACCAGGGGGCAGACAGTTGACCGGTCGACCAGTTGCTATGATGTGCACTGACCACCAGGGGGCAGACACTCTGACTGGTAGGTTAGCTTGCTGCTGGGGTCTGGCCGATCAGGACTGAGCAAG